ACTAACTTTTCTGATGACTATGGCACCATCATCGTTACCGGTAACGGTGAACCGAGATTCATCACTCCAAATGACGAGACCGAATTATGTGTCCCTCGTGCCTGTACGTTGTTTTTTTTAAAAAAAAGGACAAGGACGTATACAAGCAATTCGTTTAATGAAGTGAGTATGTTTTCTAGTTTAATTGAGCTGTGGTAATGAATTGATTCTGTCGAGTGAATACGCTTTTGAAAACATGCGTTCTAGAACTGTTTTCGAAAACAAATGATTTATTGTGTTCTTATTTAACAATAGTTGTCAAAAAAAAGTTGTCATTTGAGTATATTGTGTAAATCATTGAATGTACTTCCACTCCTTTAACTTTTTTCTCTTCTTTTGTTTGACTTATATCCTTACATACACACTATACCTTCTCTTACAGAGATACATCGTCTCAAAAAAAAATACAGGTTAAAGCGACTGCAAGTAGAGAGTGGTTTGGTTTTCCTCTATGTTTAATATACACCCCATCTCACATAGTACCTTTTTAAATCTAATAGCAGATATTGAAAAATGTGAAGACTGTGACCAGTTTGGGCATAAAAACAAAAGTGGCTATAAATGCTCGCTCTACGTAACAGTAAGTATACGTATATACGCATTTCAAAAGGTTCAATGTAATGATATTCAAAATGACACAGAGAAAAGAAAAATTGGTTCAAAAGATGATGTCGGAACAAAGATAGAGAAAGGAAAGGGGAAAAAACAGCGTCTTGAAGAGGCCAGTGGCAGTAAAAGTAATGATCAAGTCCAAATATGCAAATCATGCGGCCAAATGGGCCATAAAAGTGCAAGGTCCAAAGAATGTAGCAACTACAAGGCAACACTAGATGAAGCACTGAAAAATGAACTTGGGGACAATTATGAGCGCTTTACACGCAAAGTCTACCTTGAAACTGTTATAAGACCAGAATACAAGAAATCATTTACGGAGAAAATCGTAAAACTAAGCGCTTTCATTAGAAATGTGCTTTTTCGGGCGCAACTGTTTGTCAACGCGTATATTGTTAATAACAAAGATTCCA